TGGAGGAAAACCCTCCCACCTGTGCTGCAGGCTGCCCCTGCCACCACACCATCCCCTCCCACTACAGCACGGCAAGCCCGTGCTGTGAACTCCATTGCTGGAATGATCTGGGTTAAAAATAACCTTGTAAAGAGTTAAGGGATGTATTTTTAGCCCAGATCATTTCAGTGATCCAGTTTACAGCACAGCCCCACCAACTCACACTGGTGGAAGGGAGGAGGGGAAGGGGGAACGGAAAGGTCAGCAGAGAATGAGCAGCTGGAAACATACACTGTATTTCTGCTGAAACCAAGACCTTATGAAACTGCACCCCAAAAGCACTGGCTATCTCTTGTTTTCTTCTATCATACTTACAACTGCCTTCTTGTGGTGCAGTGTTGAGAGCTGGGTGCTGAATATCACTATTTCTGGACCCTACTTCTGCAATCAAGACATTAGCCCTGAGCCTCGAGTGCCTCATATCTGCCTCTGAGACATTATATCTGTCATTCCTTTTGCCCTATTTGCTTTTGCTGAGGTATATTGTGTGTGCAGCAGTGAAAAGCCCCTGTGAGAGCCACAGTGGAGCTTTACAGATCTTGTGGGAGCACAGGGTGTAGAAAGGCAGCTGGCAGGATGGACAGGCTGCAGGGAATCAGTCCTGAAAAGCTCTTTGGAAACAAAGGAGGGATGTGGAGGTCGGAGACTGGCCTCAAAACCATGTCTAGAGGCAGCTGCTCAAGAATGGGGGTGGCACTTGCACAGGAACAGTACCAAAAATGGTGTAACCATCACTGATTTTGTAGCTGTTGAATATTCCAGCCTTGCAAGGTGCTGTGGAACTCTTGCATCTCAGATAAAAGGTGCTCCATCTGGCCAAACTATCCTACCTGCAAAAGCAGGCAAGTCAGAGGATTCATAGGGGACTGAAGGAGAGTAGTGCAGCACAGAGCTTTGCTGTAGTTCAGAGCTCTGCTGTTATTCTGCTGCTCTGTTATTCGGACTCGTGTTTTCAGTATCATGGACATTGACAAAACTGGTGGGATACCAATACCATGGGACGATGGAGTCATGATAGCTTTCAGTTGCAGTGGGGTGGCTCATGACCAAAACTACTAGCTGAGGACTGTTGGACTCTGTTGTACACCAGTCCCAGCAGAACTTTCAAATTCATACCAAAAGCCACCTCTGGCTTTTCCAGTTTTCCACAGGAGTGGAAATTCTCTGTGATTTTGATTTTATAAGAAACTCATTGTCTGTATTGACACTCAAATCCATCATCTTTAAGAAAAGCGCTTTGTGAGTACCCAAACAGTCTCTTGTGTGGGCCTCTAACATGCACCTTTCTCTCACCTGGTGCCCACAGTGGGTTCATGGGCTGTAGCAGAATTGGCAAATGTCACCCAGCCAGGTAATGGCATTGCTGTAGTGAGGGGTCCCCTCTGTAAGACGTTACTACTCCCACATCAGGCAGCCTTACTGGTCATCTTCTGGCACATGAAATCATCAGTGAAGCTGGGACTGTGTAAGGCAGAGCTGACTGTGCCACAGCTTCAAGGTGTCTCTGCTCAGAGATCTCCTCAGCTGCCTTGAAAAGATACCGCAGGAATGGTGTGGGACATTTGTAGTGGTGTTTCCACCAGGCAGCCTGTGAGAGGAGCAGGAATCTGTGCTGAAAACAGTGGCCCCTTTCAGGCAATCTGCAGAGTTGGGGATTGGTGGGCAGCTTTGCTCTTACCACAAAGACTCCAAGACACACGGAAAGAGAGATTTGGTGGGAAGCTTGAAGTGGCATATTTGCACCTAAACCACAGAGGCAGAGCCTTCTTCTCCAGTGCTGATAAAAAGGAGTAGACTCAGTTTTAAAAACAAATGAAAAACCATGGTATTGAAAAGTATTTTCACATTTACTCAATTTTATAAACTTATTTGGAAGAGGAAAGTGAAACAAATCCCTTACAGAGAACTTGGTAGTTGCACTTCCTCTTTTGCAGACAGTGCCATGCTTACATTGATGGTATGATTCAATTCCTGTTTATGGCTCTGTCTGACATTTTACAGAACTTGCAGTACTTAGACACCTATTTTTATGGAACGGTAAAAGACCTCAGAGTAGCAGTTACCAAATTACTGATGGACAGAGCCTTTAACCATAACTCACTGTTTTTAGCCCATGCAGGCTGATTATGTTCTGTTCTGAAAAGGAAAAGAATCAGCAGTTGGCTGCAAAAAACATTTTTGAAAAAAAAAAAAAAAGAGCATAGTTCAGAAAAGTGGTGGGTTATATCACCAAAATGTGAAATATGACCAGGAATGGGAAAGGTTGCATTTATATCAGGGGGGCAGGAAGGAGCCAGCATTGAACTCCTGGGTGAGAGAAGCAGATGCACATCTTGGTTGTGGGCTGGTACAGGGTGAGAGTGGTAAAGTGAGGCTTCCCACCTTACCCCCAGTAGTGAGAAGGAGGAGAGGAAGACTGACAGTCCAGCTCCTGAAAGTCAGGGGAATGGTGTTCTCTTTGCAGTGCAAAGAATGGAACTTTTTGCATCCAAGTGCCCTGCCTCAGCACTTTCCCCTGACTAGAAGATACAGAGGCTGGTACACCATCTGGAAGGGGCAGGGGGCAAATGTAGAAAAAGCTGAATACAGGACACCAGTGTAAGTGCCAGAAAGGATCTGAGAAAGGACTTTTCCTGCTGCAAAGTGTAATCAGAGAGTCTGCAGCTGGCAATTTTGGGAGGACACAGCCCGTGGGCTACTGGGGCTAATCTTAGAATGGCATGTTCACTGCTTCCTGCGCCCTGCCCGGCCAGAGCCGCCTCGCAATCAGTGCCTGTCACCAGCAAAACAAGGAACACGTAGAACCCTTCTAGCCTCACAGCTCTGATCAAAGAACAAAGCTGTGTTTTCAGAGTGTAAGTCAAAAAAAAAAAAAAAAGGAAAAAGAAAAATTAAAAACAGGATCACCCCAAAAACAAGAGGTCAGATGGGCCAAGGCCAAGAGGAAGTACAGTGTCTTTTCTAAGTAAAGACAAAGGGCTGTGAGAGAAGCTTTTGGAGAAAAAGGTCCTGTGAGGGAGGCAACCCTTCCACACAAACATTGAAGACCTGCAGCTCCTCAGTTCAACAGAGTCCTCACTTTAGGTGTCTGTTTTGCCATTCCCATGTATCCTGGGAGCTGGTATGCTGAGAGCCAAGCCTCCCAGTCCATCCTGCCTTTTCCAAGTTCATTCTTTGCTCCCTCCTCTTTCCTCCCTTCAGAGCAGGGAGGCAGACAGCAGCTGGGAACTGCTCTCCCTCCCCACTTAGCCCAGCCACCGTTTTTCATGTGCAGCAGGTTGCTGATCTTCCTACCTCACTGTTTCTTCCATTTCCCTTATCTGCCACTTTCCCTGCCTGTAGTTAATCTAATGGAAGGTGAGAAGATGAGGGGAAGTTGCATGAGGATCACTGAGAGGAGGCAGCTTGATATGGCTTTCCTAAATGCAGGAAAGCTAGTCCAAAGTGCATGGGAAGCTTAACAGTCAAGATGCAGTCAGGATCCTGGAAACAGGGAATGGCAGACATCTACAGGGGTTTGTGGGCCTGGGGAAAAGAAGATAGCATTTACTGGGAGCATTTACTTACAGCTCTCTGAGAAAGGGAAAGGCCCTTTTACACGATGCAAACAGGCCTCAGCCACACTGGTCTGTACCAGGCATTTCAGAATAGAGACTGCTCCAAACTGCAGATTATGAGATGATCCTTAACATAACCACCTCAATTTGCTTTTAGTCTAGAAACTACAAGTCTAAAGAAATCCCTTCCTTAACATGATATCAAGTTTCCACAGCCATTGCTTCAGTCCCTATGGCATGATTACCCAAAGGGAATGGTCCATACATGGGCCAGGTTGGTGTTTTGAGGGCCTTGCACCTCCAGCGGTGCTGAAGGTGCGGTTGTGTTCAGGAAGGAGGAGGTCCCTCCCAAGCAGAGCGGCATGAAGGGAGAGGGAAGGGCTCTGCTGGAGTCATTGGAGAAACAGAAATATATTCCTCTAGCAATGGCCTTTGGGGAAACTTTCTGGCTGAGTACTGAGGCAGTGGGGTGAGAGGTGTGGTGCTGGTCATGTACCACATCGATGGTGGTGGTACAGGGAGCGGAGGTATGAGGTTACTTACAGATGGTTCATAAGCCTGGTTTCTTGTTCTGAGATCTCTGCCTCTAACAAAACAAGGATTGTTGGTTACTTATTCTCAGTCCTCTGGTTTGGCTTTCCCTGGCATCAGATACCAGAGATGAAAAACAAAGGTTTCCATTCATCAGCTTTGATTTCAAGACTTTCTACTCACAGTGCTCAGTACACACATAGCAAAGAAAACAAAGGTAAATGTGGGATGATACCAGGGCAGTGTGTTATGGGAAGAGCTGCATCATCCACACTCCAGCACAAGCCTCCTGCTTCTCAGCCTGTTGTCGACTCAGGGGAGGAGAAGCTTCTCTCAGCCGTGGTATTTTCTCCCTCCCCCCACCTGCCTGAGTATTTCACTGCCAAAAAAGTAGAACAGCACAGGGATACATCTCCAAGCAGATGTTGGCTTGCTGCAAGGACTGGGAATGGCTTCTCATAGCAGAAGTGCTGGAAAAGGAAGGATGATGACCAGGGCAGTGAAAAAGGTATGGAAGAGCTGCAGAGGTACATGGGAATGGACTTTATTGCCCTACTCCATCTGCTCACTGCAAGGATAAGATGGGGAACAGACACTTGGCTTGAAATGCCTAGTTTTCTTCTGCTGAAAACTACTGAGTGTAGGTTCTTCAGCAAAAGCTGAAAGGCTCTGCCTGAATATCTGATTTTCTGGAATATTTGAAAATGCTGCTAGATCCTGTCATCCCAAACCTCTTGCTCACAGGCTGGATGATTGATGCCAGATGTGAGGAACTCTGCTTTAAAGTCTGTGCTTACTCTTGAACTTTATAACACATACACAGGCTTGCCTTTCCCAGCCTTTGCTCATAACGCGTTGTTCCCACTTTGTCAGAACAGGCCAGCAGAGACCAATTCAGAGGCGGACAAGTCAGCATCACCCTCAGTGGCTCAGCTAGCAGGGAAATTCAAGGAGCAAGCAGCCAATATCACTGCAAAAGAGGTAAGGAACTCTGCAGCCGCTGATAGGAAATGGCGGGGAAATCAGGCCCTCAACTCTGCCTGTTGGAGGATCAGTGACCTGAGCATGAACTCACCTTGATTTTGGATCTTTGCAAAGGATTCCTCTCCTCATGCAATGCAAGCTGTGGCAGTATCTTCCATGCTTTGCTGACTTGTGGATGAGTGTTTTGGTAAAGCTGCACCTCTGGACGACCAGACACTAACTGAGACACTGTAAAGCTTGGTAGGGTGCACATGTTTAGCCAACAAGAGCAGACAGCAAAGCATGCACTATTTGGGATTGCTTTTGTGGGCAGACAGCAGCAGTGAACAACAAATTAGCTATTACTGAGCCACAGGAAAAGAAAGCAAACAACAGATTATGCACTGTAGGAAGCCAGTGGCAGGTCATCAGCACCACATTTGCAAAAGGAGAAGGTTTCCTCCTGTTATTCCTTCTGTAAGGGTCTGAGAGAAAGCTACCTCTTTACTCACCTTCGTTTCGTTTCCTCTTTCCAATGATATTTCAGACTCTCTGCCTATCTCTATCATGCTGAAACTTTGATTTATTGAAAGCCCACTATGCCAAGCATCACCTCATAAGCTGTCTTTCACCAGCTAAGCAAAACACTAGAATACCTCTCTTAGGAAGAAAGGAGAGACATGGTGTTTATGAAAGGAGGCTGACATTTTAGGAGAGCTCCCAGTATCATTATGACTCTTCTTTAGAAGCAAAAGTGTTTACTGGTGGCTCTCTTCTCTTTCAAAACTGAACTGCTCCCTTTTGCTGCTCAGCTGATTTCAGGATGTCCCAGGCTGGGCTTAAGGGGACCCTCCCTGTCTCCCCTCCTGCCTTTGGCTGGATGCAGTGGTGACCTGTGCCCTGAAGGGCTGGCATACTGTCATCTGTCAGAGGTTAGCCAGGCCCCAGGATGGGAATAGCCAATCTCTTCCCGAGCACTATTTTTTCCCCTCTAGTCACCAGTGCACCACTGCATATAGCCCATTACAGTAACTTCCTTTTTTTAAGGTATGGGATTCAATTGCAATAAGTCTCTCACCCTACAGAAGGCAGAAAGTTCCCAGACCTCTCTTGTGTTATCTGCAGACCTCTGCTGCTCCCAAGCCAAGGCAGTGTAGAGGGGCCTCACTGTGGGGGGAGACTCATTTTCTCCAGAGACAGGGGAGAACAAAGTTTCCTGTCTTTTCTCTCCAAGGCATCTGTCACTTCCCCACTGGCTTTCTCAAGCTGGAGTCAGATTAATGGCTCAGTGGATGGTCTTTAACCCTTGCCTGACCCATGCCAGCAGAGAGGATCCCATCAACCAGGGAAGCCAGCAGAGAGGATCCCATCAACCAGGGAACCTCTGACACATTCACTCTGGCACAGTGCATTACACAGTTGCAAAATTATGGGGTTTCAATTAGACATACTATTGCTTCCTAGCATATAGCTTCCTTCTGATAAGGATAAGGGCAGGGCTCCCTTGGCTGCTGGGAGATGCAGCATTGCCATGGCTGGATGCAGCACCAACCTGCTAAGTGGCATCAAGTCTACAGGTCCTCCAAGACAGCCAACTCTACAGAGGGCAAAGACACTGTGATCCAATTTTTCACATTGCCAACCTGTGAGGCAACAACAAAATTATCCAAATATTTTATTGTGGATACTATCCAAGATCCACAATATTATCCAATTATTTTGCCTGTTAACACATAAAAACAGCTTGGCAGGAGACTACAAACCTGGCATAAAAATAGAGACAGCTTGGCTTCAAAACTAGAGCAATAGTTATGTGCTATGCATCTCTTCCTTCCTAAGGAGCTCTCTTGTACTTCTGAGAGTCTGAAGACATTCAGAAGGAACTGCTACTAAGTTGCTTTGTTCTTATTCTCCCCTAGAGAATCTGTTTCTCAGTCAAATTAAAGGTTACACCTGAGGACTTGTCCCTATAAACTGTTTTTCTTCATTCAAGAGAAATAAATGGGGTTGAAATTCTGAAAAAGTCCAAATTACCCTTTTTGCCCTTAAAAGGTATCAGATGCAAATCGGGAAATCATGAACCAGGTAGGCAGTTGAGAATTAAAAGGAAATCCTGGTAATGACAGGAAAGAGAGCAGTAACAACCTATTCCAGTGTGAGGGAGTCTCCAGCAGGATGCTTTGAAGATGAAGTTTCTGGGAAGGTTTTGCCACCCTCCAGAGCTTGGAAGAGCGTCCTTTGCACAAAGCCTGAAGTGTTGTGGCTCATACTGTGGAAAAAGATACAGACTACTTTTCCTCCACTAGGATCGGGCTCAAGATGCTACAGGATTAGGCTCAAGATGCTACAAGCATACTTGGTACACTGGCCACATGCCCATGTGCCAATACCTGGTGCTGCCTTTGGATGACTCCTTTAGGCAAGCTGAGCCCTGCCACCCAAGCAGGTCACTTACACAGCGTGCCCTTTGGTGCTTGAGTTTCACTCCCTTTTTCAAGAAACCTGATTTCCCTGCTGCTGAGTTGGTTGTTTTCTTCTCTTAGGTGCCACTGCATAAGCCTACTCGGAGGAAACCACCATGCTCCCTTCCATTGTATTCCCACAAAACTGAGACAAGTGACAATGATGAGCAAGTGAGTATCAGTTTAAGAGGGGGCAAAGTCTTTCCTCTGTGCAACCTGCTCTCTCCTGAGACACGGGTTTGGAGGTAGCAGAGAGGTCAGGCTGTGCAGCCAAAGACATCAATCACACAGAATCAAACCTCCCTCTGCTCACATACGTGTACTGACTCAGAGTCAGCTCCATGCTGTTTCCCACTCCTGTAGCACAGATACACATTCCATTTCCACTGCTTTCATTTTTACCCTTAGCACACTGATGGATCCATCCAGTTACCACTGTTCAGGAACCACTGGAATTTGTGAGATTTGAACAGTGCTTAGCACAGGGAGCATCCATGGTGTGTGTTGCCTTCAGATGAACTCTAGAGGTTTGAGTATAATGTTGTAATAGTTCTGCTTGTGAGATTTTTTCCATCTTCAGAAAAAGGGAATAAATAATCCAGAGTGAAGAGGGGATTTGTCAGCAATACCCACAGAATATTGTCTTTAGGTATCCTCCATACAGCACCCTTGAATGAGCAGGTCCCAGTAAGCTGGCTGCTCCTTGCTAAATTTTGTGCTCAGGACCTTTCTTGCCACTTTTGTACTTTGTATTTTAAGATATGAGGTCTACCCACCATATTTCACATTGTCACCTGCCCTTAACGAGGGAGTAGTTCTTTGTCCTTATCTGTCAGCTACATGCCAAAGGAGCAGCAAGCTTTAAAATCTTAGATTCCTTCCTTTTCCTTTGGACCTGAAAAAAGCAATGTGCCCCTTCTCAAAGGAATGCTTTACCTTTCTCGAACTGTTTTCAGCCTTTCAGAGCTCTGCCTTTCCTGCCACTTAGGCCTTTCCTGCCTATACTAATTGGATATCCTTTAACTCTGTTAGTCAAGTGGTGGCAGAAAGTCTTTCTCCTCACAGAAAGTTCACAATGTTTGCCAACATTAAGGCTTTAAGAAGTAGAATTTTAATCTGTCTGGTCTGAAATAATACCAGGGGAAACTATGGCATAGGCTACATACCTTAGTGAAGGCAAAACAGAAGCAGAGCAATTACACATCACCTAACTCAGACAGCAGACAATCTCCTTTTCCCCCAGAAAAAGGGTACACACATCTAGTCCTAGGATGGCTAGCACTTTCTGCTTATCTCTTCAAAGTTTTCTGCCTTTATTAGATTTCTTCTTTTTCACCTACTTTACTGTGAAGTGTTTGTGTTTCATTTTGTTTTGCAGAAGCGGTCTCCAAATGCTTGCCCCCTTCCCAAGGTCAAGGTGAAAAGCTCCCCCATGATTGAAAAGCTGCAGGTAGGTCCTAGAAAAACCCACATGGCTTCCTCAGCAAATTAAAACTGACAGGCATTTGTCATAGCTACTTCCCTTGCAGAGCAGTCACAGGGAAGGGGGATCCAGGAGCCAAGAGTGACAGCTGGATGAACAGAGCAGTGGCCTCACCTGCAAGGACCCAGGCCCACCGTATATAAATAAGGAAGGCAGAGCAGATCTGGTAATGGTAATGCATCAGAAGCAGTCCAGTGACCCTCAAGTGTGGCCATAAGCATGTCAGTGCTTTGGAACTGTGGAGCACATGGCTGGGCATGGCATGACAGCAACACTGCTTAAGTGGGGAGCAGGGGCAGGAGCCTCAGTTTAAATGCAGGTCTCCAGAGAAAGTGAGGGAAACCCTGAGACTTCTTCCAGCTCTTTCTTTGCAGCAGTCTAACTCAGACAGTCACCTGCACCCTGTCAAGGAGCCGGTCTTCAGCACAGGCAACTACAACCCTGGCAATGGGGAGTGCGCTCCAGGATCTGGCTCTCCCCTACATGTGCCTGGAAGCTCTGCACTTCCCTCATCTGGATTTCCCCAGTTACTCAAAAACACACCCAGTGCTTCCTGCCCTTTTTGTATGTCTCTGTGGTGCCTGGTCCACACTGCTGAGGGCAGCTCAGCACCGGATGGCCTGAAAGCAGAGTGCCCTGGCCCTGCCAGCTGTCATTCCTGGCACCATGTGCAGCTCCAGAGCTCCTGGCCACCCTCTCACAACGTATGCCTATTCATATCACTGTCCCTCCTAATGCACCAAGGACATTTGCCTTTGAGATCTTCTGAGTGAGAGCCCAGCAGGAAGTGTTTTGCCGCAGTTAATCACAGGCTCACCTCTTTCCATGGTCTTCTCACAACTGTGCAGTTCATTCAGAAGATCAGGCTGGAAAATTGGGGCCACACAGGGATGGTTTAAATATTTTGGTTTAAAAGTGATTGCTGGCTGCTTGTTCAAATTTGCTCCCAGCTCAGCCACTGTAGTCTGTGCTGGCTTGGCTGGGTCACTGGAAAATCCCAAAAGGCCTGAGGATGACAAAAGAACATGTCCTGAGTTCCAGCTGCTGGGAAGGACAAATGTCCAGTCATAACTTTTCTGCCCAGACTTGTTTGTTGACAGTGTCACCAGGAGAGACCCACAACCAGAAGGTCTGTGGGTTTAACAGCTGAGAGCTGTGGCAAAGCAAGGGTTCCCCTGCGTGGCTATCGTGTGAAGCACACCCTGCTGTCATTCACACCCATGACGGGGATTTTTCTTTGCAGGCCAATCTGGCTTTTTCTCCAGCTGCTCTGCTGCCGGGAGTGTCTCCCAAAAGCCCTGGTCTGAAAGCCCTGGTTTCTCCATTCAGCACACCTCCCTCAACACCCAGCAGCCCTGGGACTCAGACCCAGCCCAGCGAGGCGAGTGAGACACCAGTCAGCTTTGATCAGCCCCCGGAAGGCACCCAGCTGCAGTTCTACAACAAGGTAGGATATGTGCTGGGATTTCTTGCTCGCCTTTTCTCTGGAGATGAAGAGGAAGAGAAGGCTGAGACATCCAGAGTCAGCAGCATCTGTGTAATGAACGCAGCATCCTTAGTTTCAGGGGTCTAACTTGGACAAGGAGTCACAGTTCAAATTGGATGGTCTCTCACACTGTCTTTACAGAAGGGAGGCTTACATTAGGGAGCTGCTTGTCCTGTAGAGTAGTCTTTCAGCAGCAGGGAGCCCTCTTCTCCCTACCTCTCATTAGCAGAGCAGGAAAAATTAAGTCACCAGGGTATCAATTAAATTTCCCATGTTTTCCTCTGTTGTGCTTTCCTGCTTTCCAATACCACTCTCTTGAGTGCTTCAGTGTCTGCTTTTCCTGCCCCCAGGTGCGGACGCGAGGATCAATCAAGCGCAGGCCACCCTCCAGGAGGTTCCGAAGATCTCTGTCCGAGTACGGAGATGGGGAAGATTTAGGGCTCAACATCTCCTCTCCAGAAAATGGTGCCAGGGAAAATGAGGTCTTTGGGCCCAATGGCAAGACAGAGGAGGCTGAAACAGGGAGAAAAGAGCAAAAGAAAGAATCAGGGTCTGATGAGAAACCCCAGTCAAGGAAAGGATCCAGCAGGTCAGAGGATGAGTTAAAAGGCAGCAATGAGCAAAAGAAACAGGCAGGGTCTGATGAGAAGCCCCCATCAAGGAGAGGGTCCAGCAAATCAGAAGATGAAGAAAAAGGGGATAAACAGGCAGAGGAAATTAATCCTTGCAAGAGTAACAAAGGGAATACAAAGGAGGAGGAAGTGTGTCATGATGCCTCAGGGAAGGAGAACTCTGCCCAGCCTACCTCTGGAGACAAGGAGGTGTGTGAGGGTCCCAAGGGAGAAGAGCAGCAAGACACTGCCAGTGAACAGGAAAAGGGGGACAAGGAGAAGGAAGAAGCTGAAGGGGAAGCAAAGGAAACCAGTGAAAGCACAGACACACAGAGAACATCAGATACTGAAGAAACACCACTGGCATCTGAATCACTGCAGGATGCAGAGGGATTAGACACTGCTAGTGAAGCTTCACCATCAGTCACGCAGGAGCAGAGCACAGCGTAACCCTGACACACAGGTAAGGCGGGTCAGCGTGGTGTTGCCTCCTAAGACACCAGAGGGTTTTGCTATTCATGAAAATGTCAACTGTGACAAAACAAAACAACAATTTTGCTGTTCCCCATATGTCAAAAGTCTCAAATCTGAGGCCTGCAGAGACTGCGAGGCAGGGCATTCAAAACAACCAGCCTTTCTGGGTGGTGTTGCAGGGAGAAAGGATGGAAAAGAAGCAAAGCTGATTCTGGATTCAGTATAACAAAGAGGCTCTCCTCCATTTCTGTTTTGAATGCAATTTGAAAGTACTTACAGTAAAAAGCACATTTCCCCAGCAGTAACCTTGTATATACTATTTCAGTTATGCCTCCTTACATATACATATTTATATGTGAGCACATGTTGTATATATACATGAACACATATATATATTTTCTCTCTCTCTGTGTTTAGCTTGTTAGCTTTGCCAGCAAAAAGAGTGTTTGCACACATACCAGTTTCATGATCAGCCCTGGAAGCACGGAAACATGGCCCTTTGCCACTTGAAATAAAAGAGGATTTCCACTAGCTGAAGCAGGACTTATTCCATGTACCTTCTTACGTATTCTGTAACCACTGATAACATAGCCACAGATGCCTGAGGAAATGTCTAATTCCACGTCCCCACCTGTCTCCTCTTCAAATGTTTCCTTGGTTTGGCAAGGACCAACTGAAGGAAGGAGGCTGGTGCTCAGGCTGCCTTTGCCTCCTAGGACAGAAACTATCAAAGTACTCCCAGGACTTCTCAGCGCTGTATTTACTTAGACCATGATTATTTTTCATTATTTCCTTACTTTTTGCCTCTCAAAAGGACATGCCCAGTCAGGGTAGAGGAGACTTAACATGTGAATAGGAGCCATCTAACCCAATCAAGGTGGAAGCTACTGGAAAACCTTCAGTGGCAAGAGAGGAGCAGAATACAGATATCCCCTGAGGTCCAAACTCCTCACAGAGCTGAGTGGCTCCTTGCTGGCTCTCTGCTCTGCACCATCATATTTTGGGACAGCTGGAACAAGAGACCGGTTTGCTATCTCTTCAGAGTTCAAAACTCAGGTGTGTTGGCTGATGTTCCTCAGTGATATCTGGGGACTGAGAGACCTGATACTTGGCTGTCCTGGAGCCAACAACCATCACCACTCCTGGTCCCTCTGCTTCTTCATTCTGCTCCAAAATGTCTTTTTCTTCTCCCCTGCATTGGTCTTAGATTAAGTTTATCAGTTACATACATACATATATGGTGCCTTTTTGGTAGCTTTTTTTGGAATACTTTGAGTTTCTAAACTTCAGTAAATAATGTTTTAACAGTAGGAAACAGTATGTTTTCTCCGTATGTACTGTATGGCAGACAATGTGAACTCTGAGCACAGGGAAGACTCTTACGACATTGGTCGTACAACACAAAATCCCTTTGAAGTGGTGGTTGAACTGGCTGATCTGTGAAACAGCCAGCAGGGACAGGCTGGTAGGTTCTGTGCTTCTGCTTTGGGGTGTTTTTAGTGCTGGTGGAAAGTGACAATGAGCAGATTGGATGCAAAGAGTGCTGAGTAGGTCAGCGGGGCAAGGTTTTTATCTGGCTCCATGCTCCAGTACAGATTTGGAGGGCCTGCCTGTCCATCAGTCTTTCTCACTTCCAGACCCTATGCTGTCTTTTTTTAAACTTTTAGTGTGTGGCCACTGAGAGCCACTCAGGATAGAAAGTATCCTGTATTGGCTTACAGGAAACAGCCAAATGATTTTGTGCAGGTCAAAAAAGTGTTAGCTGGCTGAGTTTCCAGTAATATGGCCTGACTGACTGAATTGGTGAAGGTCAGACAGCCAGTCCCTCCTCAGTACTTAGGCACTGTACTGGATTTGCATTTACCCTCCAGTTAAAGTCATGGGCTAGCAGCTGCCAAAACAAAAGAAGAAGGACTTACGTCTGCAGACTATTAGTTGCGCATAAGAAATAAGTTCTTTGGGGAAAGATGGATAACAGACCCTCACTTGACCTCGTTCCTGACAGCAGTGCTTGAAGCTGAATAAAAAACTGCCTTGGCTCAAGACCACAGGGCTCATGTCCACAGCATGTCGTGGAGCTGTGGACAAATCTGGGCTCACTGGAGACTGCGAGCCAGACTTGTCAAAAGCTGAGCCAAGGTGTCAGCCAGTTGTTGGGTGGTGAGAATGGTCAGGGGCCAGTGCTTGAACCCCACCTGAGTACTCAGCAACACAGAAACAGCTGCAGAGACCAAGGGAAGAATGAGCCATCCCAAAGCTCCTCCTAGCAAACATTAAGCTGAGCACTGTCAGAGGCTTACGTTGTCCCTGTCTCTCCGGACACGCACAAGTCAGCACAGCTCCCTTCTGTCCTCAGGCAGGCTCTGCAACACAGCAGAGATACAAACCTGGAGGGTCTGTGGGATATCCCCTTTGTGTTCACCAGCTCCAAAATCGTGAGGAAAGAAGAGGCTCTGTGTCCTGCCTTTCTTTTTCCCAAGTGAGAGCTCTCAGGTGACATTTGCTGAGAGCCAGCGGCTTTGACCCTCCTGTGTGACATGGGCTTGTTGGCAAACACAACCTCCACATCCTTTTGAGCCATGCCATGGAGCACTGTTGCCTTTGAACCCATTGTAATCTGTTATAGCTTGTATTCCAGGGCAGGCTGCAATCATTCACTATACCTCGTTTCTTCTCTCAGCAGTGTCCCATCTCTATGTGAGGGATTGTGTCTCACTGTATATACAGACATATATGTGCCTGTTTAAAGAATGTGTATGTATGTCCTGAGCACAGGAATGGAAATCCAAGGGAGAAACAGAAGAAATAAATGGTGTAATAAAAGCAAAGCAAATAAAAAAATCTGTATGTTTTGTTTCCTCCTGGAAGGATGAAGAAGTCTGAGGAAGGATGGAGAGAGCTGGTAGCAGCAGGCAAAATAGGGGTGGGATTTCCACTGCCATTAGAACAGTTCAACATTTTAACATGCTGTGGTTTTTGGGAGACAGCAATAACCAACATGCTCAATCACAAAGGAATATATTCCTTGGGGCGAGCAGTGACACTAGAGACTGCCACACTTCCTGTCCTAACCCTGCAGGTAGCCGGTACCTGGGAACAGAAGAAAGAAAAGCCATCCAGCCTGCTGCCATTTCTCCAACAGCATCCTTGGGAAGCATAAATAAACAAGGCAACACACAGTGATTTTTTCCGTTGAGATTTCCCAGCTTTTGGCAGTCAACAGTTTAGAGACTTTTTGGGTCAGAAGTTGCATCACCATCTTTGTCCCTGATGGCTTTACAAGTATGAGGAGGGAAGAAAGATGCCTGTTTCTTAGCTGCAGGCACCCACACAACCCCCACACATAAACCTCACCCCGGCTGCAGGACAGGTGAGAGCAATTTCAGGAAAGTATTTTTGGCCAGCATAAGCATCGTGACACTGCTAAAGCAGAGGATGCATGTGGACATGTATCCCTGCCCCATCCACACTATCAGGAAGCTTTAGCTTGGGCAATGTGGTGTTATATCCACAAGATGTACAGAGACAAAAAGTTTTGACTGCGGTGCAGACCACAGCTTGGCTTCGTGTGTGGGGTGGGAGTGCCTGTTCAGACTCATATCCGTCAGATGGCTGGGGCTGGAGTGTGTGGTGTCAGCTGTAAACACACCTGGTCAGATGGGAAAATGCCCTCAGCAAGATATAATTTATGCAGTCCCTCTGGTATGGATGTTGCCCGAAAGATTACAAAAAAAAGGTAAAGCACAAACATTGTGGACCAGAAGACCTTTATATTGAGGGGGTGAGGATGGAAGACTGAGCAAGAAAGAAGTAGAGAGAGGAATGCAGCAGAAGGGCAAGGAGACAGTGTTTTTCTGTGATCTTGGTTCTATGTTTGTTTTTAGTTGGACCGGGTTTAAACTAGTGTGAGCCGCAAGAAAGTATTGGAAAGGCCAAGCCTGAGAGCATTTACTGAGGGGAGGAACAGGGGTTTCTTGAAAGATCTGGGATGCAAAGGCATGGAAACATGAGGGGGAAGCATTGGTGGGATAGAGCACATCAGGGACAACCTGAGATCCAAACGAGCAGCGTGACGAGGGCTCAGAGACCAAAGGCAATGCCTGTGTCTCCCGTGGGTCACTCTGGAGATCCCCGGGGATTCCTGGGTGTCCCTGGATGTCCCTGTGGGATGGCCCGCCCCGCCAGGGGGCGCAGCGCACAGAGCGGGGCGGGATAAACCAACGCCACTGGGGGTGTGTGTCCTATTTCCCACCCCCCTTTCCCATCCCCTGGGAATGAGCTCTCCCGGCTTCGAGCGCCACCGGCCGTGGAGCGGGAATGGGAATGGGAAGGAGGGGGTGGTCGCTGCTGCACGCCTAGGATGAGCGCGGGAGCGGGGTCTGAGCAACGGAAGAGAGCGGAGCGGCGCGGGGGCCGCCGCACCCCCCGCAGGACTCGGAGTCACCTCTGCCAAACGGAGTCGAAGGGTCGGGGGAAGGGCGATGCCACGGGTTACCCTGGAGAGGGAGGGAAGGGGGAAGTGGCATCAGTTACGGAGAGGAGCGATGTGTTGCGGAGCGGCAGGCAAAGCCACCGCGGGTGTGGCGGTGGCGGGGAAGGACAGAACCACAAAAACGCTGACGAGGGTGGCTGGGGCTGGGAGGAGGCGGGAAGAGAGTAAAGTGCTGCGGCGACAAGCTGATGGTAGAGCGGCTCGTTGGTCTAGGGGTATGATTCTCGCTTCGGGTGCGAGAGGTCCCGGGTTCAAATCCCGGACGAGCCCGCCGGCATGGGGGCGCGCGGCGCTCTTTCTTTTGCCGCCGCGGTGCTCTCCCGGAGCGTTTTTGCGCGTCCGGCTCGCCCGCAGCTCGAGGAAGGCCCGCGAGCGGCGGAAGGGCGAGGAGCGTCTCCGGTGCGTGCGAGGGGGGAAAGCTGAGGGGAAAGGCGGAAAAAATTGAAGATAGCGGCGCCCGATGCAAGGCGAAAAGAAGCGCCTCTCCCCGGCGAGTTATTAACGCTTTTCTTTGCGCTAAAATGGAACGAGTGTTATCCCTTCGCTGCCGATGCCCGAGGAACGCTGGGGACAACGCGGAGTCGTAGCGCTGAGCGGACGAAAGAGGTGAAAAGAGCAACAAAAAAAATCGGGCTCGTCCGGGATTTGAACCCGGGACCTCTCGCACCCTAAGCGAGAATCATACCCCTAGACCAACGAGCCGCCGTAGCAATAGAGTTCTCTCTCTTTTACAGGAACGCTCCGGTGCTGCCGCCCGCCCCTCATCGGGATACATTCCCGGCGCTTCGCCCTGGTGCTCCGTGTGGTGCTCCGTGTTGCTGAGGGGGCCACTGATGCTGCTTCCCTGGGTGCTGGTGGTGCCGGGATCCTGCCGCGCACTGCGGCAGCCCCGTTTGCCCGTGGGTGCGAGAGCTGCCATGGCGAGCCTTGGACCGCGGCAGCCGGACTGCAAACCCCAGATGAAAAAGGGGGAATTCGGGGTTCTTTTCCATAATTCCAGACTGTGCGACGGCCAGGCAGTGGCGACGGTACTTCCTGACCTTACAGGTGAAGATTTTACTCAGACCTGTTTAAATAGAGTCTTCTTGCAACGCCGGTTGCTGCTAGGTGCTACCTTGGCTCGTCTCCCTACAATAACTAATTTTGCTTACATTCCAAGAAGCTGGAGGGAACGTAGGAGGGAGAGATGGGGAAAAGAATTGCTTTCATTTCATGGACTTTTTAATGCATCAGGGTTATCAAGAATACTCCTGGCTCAAATTGTTCCTTAGCTTCAGTTCAGCACGGGAATAGCTCATCATTCTCATCCCTTTCCATCGTAAGTTTTCCTCAGAACACTTATCCTTGCATAATGGGTGATCCAAGACCCACATAAAAAGGATGTGAGGACAGTAAATTTGAGAATAAGAAAAAGGCGACATTTAAAAAACCAACACTTTAGGTTTGCCATCTTGCAAAAATGCCTAGAAAGGTGAGGCTGCATATACGTTTCTGCTCCATTTGGAAGGCGGAGATATTAGTGAGTTGGATAAAGGGAAGTCAGAGGGACTAAATGAGGTACCAACCAACTAAGGTGGCAATTCCCCATGATACAAAGAGTTGCCTGTGTTGTTGATATTTATTCCCAATTGCTGCCCTGGATTTCTGGTAGCCTGGGTTTCTAGAGAACGTGTGCAACAGTTAGCTGAGGAATATGCTCCAGAGCTTCCCCTTAGGGTGTAAATAATGAACGCATAAGCTGTTACATTTTAAATTCCACCAGCACTGTAACCTGGCATCTTGCATCACAGCTGGAAAAAAATAATCTGCCTGTGTTTTTGCAGGAGCTTGCTTTGTCATGGCCCTCCTTAATATGGAATACGGGAGCAGGGCTTTCCTGTGGCTTCTTTCATATGCAGATGCGATGAGATGGCCAGAGAGTGTCAGAGAAAGTGGCAGCACAGGTCCTGGGAGGGGAGCTCCATCCTTGGAGCACCGGGGAGCAGAGCACACTACAGGCTTCTGAAGTCTCATGGATGCAGTGAGCAATAGCCGTGTGATATGACTCAGCTTGTGCAACTTGTTTAAAATACACGGCTTAGGAAAAGAAGAAACATTTAAAAAAGAGGTTCCCAAAAGCGAGGGGAAAAAGGGAAGGATGAAAGCCTGGTCTCAGGGGACATGTAGCAGCAGGGAGTCCAGTCAGCAAGCCGAGGGAAATTCCGAGCAGGTATTTTCAGGCGAAAGGCAAAGGTGGTTATGCGACTGGTGTAGCAGAAGAACTTCTGAAGGAGCCTGTGCTTACAGGCAGCACATGCTGAAACAGGCTCTCTGAGTTAATAGGGAAAACCGAGAAGGATCTCGGTGAAGGCAGGGAAACCACTCCTGTCCATGCTCAGAGCTTGCAGCAGTGCTCTCCCTCTTTCCTTGGGATGAGCGCTTCCTGTCGTCGTAACACGCACCTGGGAGAACTCCAGGCTCGCCCATGGCTCGGGAGGTTGGGGCACTAAACGAGTGCTGCGGGAGCATGCTGTTTGGAAGATTCTCTTTGGAAAACTGGGCTGAGCCATGCACAGCAGGAGCCTCACACAGCTTAAAGTGCCTGGGACACCACACTCCAGGGTGACTACTGTGGTCCCTGCGGGCCCCAGCCGCCAGGGGGGTTTTGACCAAGGGATGCCCAACTCCACTGGCGTGACTGGCATTTATTTCCAGATGGATTTAATGCAAACTGGGATGGTCGGTAGCATGCCTGCAAAGGCACTGGGATAAGCTTTAGGCACAGCGTGTTAACTCTCGGGCAGCACCAGAGCCTGAGGCGGTGCTATGGAGGAGGCTCAGAGGAGACGTTATCGCTCTTTACAACTCCCTGACAGGAGACTGTAGCCAGGGGTCGGGCTCAGCTCCCAGATGACAAGTGACATGGCGTCAAGCTGTGCCAGGGGAAGTTTGGGTTGGACATTAGGAAGAATTTCTTCATAGAAAGGGTGATCAGACATTGGAATGGGCTGCCCAGGGAGGTGGAGGAGTCACTGCCCCTGGAGGTGTTTAAGGAAAAGACTGGACGTGGCACTGATTGCCATGGTTTGGTTGAGACGGTGGTGTTCGGTTACAGGTCGGACTCGATAATCTCAGAGTTCCTTTCCAACCTAACCGACCCAGTGATCCACTGATCGTCGGGATTCACCGACCCGCGGGATCGGCTCCTCAGCCCCCGGGTACGGCGCTCCTCAACTCCGCCCGCCGGACGCGGGGGGGCGCTAATGCCGAGCCTAGCTGGGGAGGCGGGACATTACGTACCCAGCGCGCATAGGCCATCTGAGCTTGACTGATGCCTCTCTTTTCCAATCCTCGAGGGGAAG